CTTTTCAGAAAATCTGCAGTCGTAAATGAGATATGGCGATTTCCTGGCGTCGTTACAACTTGCGTGAACAGCATAGGCAAAGAAGTCATGCTCTAGAAGTTTGAGTATATTTGTTGACGTTGGCCGCTTCGGTTACAGTTTGTGCTAATCCACATGATGTGTAGAGTGTGGGAATCAATCGTTACATTCTACGGCATTTTTTAACATGTCTGTAAAGCAAGTTGGGCTTGGAACAGAATTTCACAACTAGATGTTGTTTATGCTTTAGTTTATCCTTGTGTGCTAGGTTCATGCAATGATTTCGCTGGATAGCGTAGTCTTCCCATATTTCGCCAGAGTGAACCTCTTGTGATCATCCACTTTCGCGTCCTGCTGCGGATGCATGGCTTTACTCTCATCGCGTGCGTCGATCTGCTCCTCAAAATACTTGATGAATGGATCAACAAAATACCACCGGGTGACATCGGGGGATCGTAGAGTCAGTGATGACCAGCAGGTTCCATCAGTTAGTGTGAGCAGAACGTCGTACTCTCTGGTAGGTTGAGTCGTCGACGTTTTCTGCGGATTACTCAGCATAACAGATGTAGCTGAACAAGAGTGTTGCATGATCGCTGAGGCTCAAATGACCAACGTTCGATACCGTTTCGATCATAAACTCCTCGCTGGTGTACACGAGGTCAAGAATACTTGGGTTGTTCCCCGTTTTGAATCTTGTGTGGGAAGTAACGTGGTTGTAGTGTGGCAATCCAATGATTAGCTCTTGCAATACCATTGTTAATTATTCACTGCGACAGACTTGGGTTTCTAGGTCGTGAAAATAGAATGTGACTGTGTCACTATGCGAGGACAGTTTCAGAGTGGAGGCTGGCCGATTGTCCATTTAAGAAGTGGACGACAGAGGGCGGTACACGACACCAAAATACGTGTGTCACCACCTCTTAGATGAAGACGGCACCTAAGCGCGTCGACAATCTGACCGCCAGGTCGTCGATAAGATTAACATGTAGCTCATTGTAGTAGTAGTGTATTACACCACGTGCTGTATTCGGTCTCTCTGCGCAGCATGGACATCCAAGGTAGTACGATTTCGGCGTCAATGATCCCTTCACTCAACCATGGCTTGGTTACCAGCATGAGTTCTCAAGGCATCGAGGCCTGATGCAGCCGATAATTTATCAGTTTGCTGAATAGGTCTTGTGCATTGGTAGAGAAGCAAGAGAGTTCCTTATGTGTTATAATATTGCTGGTAGGTGTAGACAGCAGTTTTGAGAATTGGTCGACCCTCGTGCGATCGGCTGCTGCACGTGTTATGGGGAGTCACGGGCTCTCGAGATGGACACGTTGTTGCACCAGACACTCGAGGTCATGATGACCGTTTTCCTCCCTCACATACTGCGGCGTCCCCCTGGGTACTATGACGACTGTTAGATTAGTCGGTGCGTTGGACTCCACAAAGGTCGTTTTCGCTGAGTTTTCCGCCCCCATTGAGTGATCAGTAGCCTGTGGTCGTGTCCCTGCTGCCTTCAGTCGAATTGCTGTCGGCAGCATGTTACGAAACGTAACCCAACTATTTAGAAATTTCTGTACCGTTAACTCAAACTGTGAAACCAAAGTCAGCAAACTTTGACCACATTCATTGGCAATTAGGTGAAACGAGAATGTTTGCCAACGCAATAGAATCGATATATGCTAGAGAGCGTCTCACGAATGGATCTCCATTGGCACCGGTTATTTGCTTAAGTCTCTTCGGAGGAGGAAGCTTGAGACTCGGGGACACCGTGAACAGCGACGTTCTTCTAATCCTGTTTTCTACTTCCCTTTTGGTCTTTCATAAGCTTTGAAGGTTCCTTCCATGGAATGGCTCGTAGTACGCGCACTCCGATTTTTGGAATATGGACTTGATTCACAGACAACCGAATGAACTCCGTCTCAACCGCGGAACCTGGAGTTACTCGAAATATTCGTGGCTCACCATAGTGCAATGAGTATGGGTAACGTGTAATGCGTTTCATTGTAGTGCGGTCAGCAAGCACACCGATGGAACCGCAGCTGGAGTCCCATTGGTTACGATCGTCTATCATCTTATCCTTTATTGCGTGGGATTTTGATTTGGGAAGGTTAGTGGAGACAAGATTTAAGGCACCATGGCAGCATCTGGTGGGTATCGGCTGAAGAGCACAAGGTCCTGTTGCATTCTCTGGCTTTGTGGGCGGCACTGGTGATAGTAATGCATACTGCAACACCTCAGTTTTGCCAAGCACAGCAAGCGGAGTCACGGGTATCTTTTCCGGCATTTCATGAAAGCATTTTATGCGTATTATGTCCAATTGTTTTTCCTGTGGACGCTGTGGCTTTGTATTCCAAGTATGGCGACTGAATTTCTGGCTGCTACACACTTGGAGGAAATAGAAGCAGGAAAGCTGTGAACGACTTTCGCATATATGGGATTGATGTAATTTGGGATTTGAAGACTGAAAAGCCTGCGTGTGGTCGGAACGCCTGCCTCTTCTTTGCCCTGCATGGGGAATTTATAAGTGGGTCGATTTGCAAGTGTATATTAGTTTAATTCCACAGGTTTATCACTGGCTTTCACCACTTATGCAGCTGCTTCCTTTGGCTTTTTACACTTTTGCTAGCCTGGCAATTTTTCCCGCTTAAGGAATCACCATGTCTACGAAATTCACGGAGCAGTCACAGCCGTTGACATGTGTAGCCTGCTACACGTCATTTGTGGAACACAAATTCTCCATCTTGACTGCGATGGTGACGGCTGGAAAAGGGCGCAGGATGGCCAGTTGGTGATTGTGAGCCACAGTGCGGAAGTGGCTGCAAGATCTCTTCGGTCATATCCTCTACGCAATGCTTAAGACCAACCGTAAAGTAAGCTGATAATCTGCAATAGTGCAGCTGTTGTATCCGATTCCATTTTGTTAAGCTTTTAACCGGTCGAGTTAAATCTCTTCCGCTTCATCTGCTCACACCAAGAACGAAAGTAATCAGGGAACAGAAGCACGTGTTGCATCTAGTACCTAGGTCCTCATTCTTCTATTTGCTAGCATTCGCATAACCTAAACGATCTGGTTTCCAGGAGATAGGTCCAGCTGACTGTACACCAAAGCCGACCGATTTATACGCAGTGGGTTTAGTACTTGCTCATATACCACAAGGTCAAGTTCGTACACGCAATATTGGACACTGGTCATTGTGTCACCAGATGCTTCAGGGGAATGTAGAAGATCTGCGTTTGTTACTAAGGAGATCTTCCACATTTGGGAAGTGTAAAATAGTGTGGGGAGCAAAATTCCAAAGTTGCATATTACATGAGTTCCTATTACAACCATCCATTTATGATAATCGAAGCTTTGCTGACAAAGTACACAGGTTAAAGTTAAGTGCATTATCATAAAAAGCATTGGTTCGGTGGAGGAGCATTTGACAACAAACTTCGGTTACATCTATTAGAAACACATTTGGTACGTTCCTTTGGGGCACCCGGTGTTTGTAGTTCGTATGCCTGCAAATGCCTAGGATTAACTTTCGAGGACTTTGAGGACATGGTAGTTAGGAAAGCAGGCGGTTGCCAGTTGCAAACAGCTAGCGTCGCTATCAATTCCGATCACTGCTTCGGGAATAGGGGTACCGTAGTCTAGCTAGCCCTACGACCATTTTGTCTTTTAATTTCTTTGTTTATTTCAAAGCTCCATCTCTGAGAGCCGCTGCCTCCGAGAAAAATCAACTTTGTCCTCGAAACAAACGGTCAGAAAGTGACGGGGGAAGGTACTATAACTTCAAAATGGTCACATCGGCCACAGCTCCATGGTCTAGGTCAGCGTCTCACAAACAGCAGAGTCGTACGTTAATATTCAGTAGGTTTCCAGTTGAATGCGTAGAGCTGATTACTCTTAATGTAGTGAAATGCTTCTATAGCGCGTTTCCGGAAGTGGGACGGTTGCGTGACTATGTGCAAGTAAAACGATTCGATTTGTAACTCGATAACTGCGTTGACTGGACCAACTTAATTGGCAACTTCACCAAGCTATCTGTAATGCATGACCTATTCACGTAAACTCAAAGACACATTGCATGTTCCACGAGGATTACGGGTCAAGTTCTTTCAACAAGTCCAATTACACTGCTGTCCGCAGTACAGTCAAAGAAAGTGTAGTCGTCGAACTATTTCAAAAACAATACTACATAATTGTTGTTCCGCTCCTGTCAATACGCCTCAACCCTTGAGTTGGGAATACACAAATCAGACAGACTTTGCCAGCATCCGTCACGCAAGTTTTCCATACCCAAATAGCTACTGGGGGAATTACCGGAACAATGATCTAATCGGAATCCTTACGCAATATCCGACCTATTGTCCGATATGCTAATTAACTCGATGCTCTTGGGTGGCAACAGCAAACCTTTCCTTTTTCCTAGCTGACTCACCTTCATTTTTCAGTTCTTTTTTTATTGACTCAAATATCTTAGTATTCCACTTGCTTAGCTCTTACCACTTTCTCTTTTGCCTCCTGCGTTTACTTTTTTCTCTTTCTTACTTCACGTAACCGACCCAGCAGGGACTGCTAGGGCAGGATACGTGGGCATTAATTGGTTGGACAGGGTGTGATGCGGTCTTTGTTTTAGGTCCATCAGTATTTCAGAGTTCGCCAACTCCTGGTTCAACGACCCGCCGAAGAAGGAACACTCACGGGATCTATCCTATCGTTCCAGTCCCGCTTGAACTTGAACTTGAACTACCGGTAAAATGTAAATGCGCCTATTATCAACATTCCCCATACAAGGAACAAATAGCCGTAGATTACTCGGTGGCAGTTTAGCAAGCTAGTTAAGGGTCCATTTCTTACAGAAAATGATGTGTACCCAAACGATAATGCAATACCCAAAGCCGAAGTACTTTGAACCGCATCAGTTAATTCGGGAGGCCTTATGCTGTCAAACAGGTAGCCTGAGAAGGGCAAGAGTAGTTTTGTTGTAGATGTAGTACTTACCGAAAGCGACGAATGGATCGCCTCTCTAGTCTGACTCTGCTTGGCATCTGAAAAATCGACGGGCGAAATGTTGCAGGATATTCCGTTCTGCCAAACGGTTCTAAGGCTCCTCGCCCCGTAGGACCAGGCCAACTTGAACCTGCCTGTGCACGAAGAAGAGGGTCGCGATAGTCGCTCGCAGGAGAAATATTGTAGGCTTCTGGCCCCCTGGAAGTAATGCGCACCATGTAATACACTGGTGCCCGAGGCGTTAGTTGTTCAACAGTTTCTACGATTGTATTGGACTGAAAAAACGAAGTCATAATCGTCCTATGCTTGCAAGATCAGAAATCAAAAATGTCAAGTAAAGTGAAACCACCTACCTCATACATTCAACTTTTAAAAAACGATAGAAAACTTAAAAGAATTGCAAATGTGTGTATGACGGATGTGATACGACGATACTCATAGCCGATTGACTGAATGAAAATACGTGCCCACGGCAGCGACAGAAGCTGGGTGTGGGGACCAGTCGGCTGCTTTGCATATTTGGTTTGAAACCTGCACCGGGTGACACAGGTCCGCTCGAGTCTTTGTGTAAACAATACTAGTGGAATCTAAAGCAGTTAGTTCCCTTCAGAAATTTGAAAAGCACGGTAAGAAGACGAAAACTGGTAGATGCATGCATTTCGTATTGTCTCCTCAGTAGCATTAACAATAACCGGTATGCAATTATATACTTAAATATGCGTGTGACCGAATAAGCATGAGTTGAAAGATGAATAACGGAAGTCCCACCCCTATGTCCACGGCAGTCTTAAGCTGATAAATAATTGCTTTTGAACACACAGGGCCGACTTCATCCGGCATGTCACAACGGCCTCGGCGAAACGGAGGAAGCGGGGATTAGGGTGACGTAATACAAGTGTGAACGCTGATCCGAGCTCTATCCGGTGACGCGTAGTCAGTAGGTGTTTACCTATTGAGGAAGCTGGCGGCTTGCGCAAGCACGGAACTTCATTGGGACAGGGATGCTGGTCATTTTCACGTTGAACCCACCTTGGCACCTAATCTCTGCTACGCGGAGAAGTGACTGTGCCTCTCAGGTTGTGGTCATCAATAGAACCTGTAACTTGCCGGTGCCTCCAACGAAGGAAGCTCAACCGATAGGAGCCAACTCACACTGCATATACAAATTCGCATGCGACTGCGGAGACAGTTACATAGGCAGAACCAATCGCTCTTTGACTTCCCGAATAAAGGAACACGTGCCAAGGTGGGTTCAACGTGAAATTGACCAGCATCCCTGTCCCAATGAAGTTCCGTGCTTGCGCAAGCCGCCAGCTTCCTCAATAGGTAAACACCTACTGACTACGCGTCACCGGATAGAGCTCGGATCAGCGTTCACACTTGTATTACGTCACCCTAATCCCCGCTTCCTCCGTTTCGCCGAGGCCGTTGTGACATGCCGGATGAAGTCGGCCCTGTGTGTTCAAAAGCAATTATTTATCAGCTTAAGACTGCCGTGGACATAGGGGTGGAACTTCCGTCATTCATCATTCACCTCATGCTTATTCGGTCACACGCATGGTTGGCGGCATCCGGTTTCGCACTTACCTGTCACTGTGGCAAGCCACAGGACGCCTGCGCCTACAGAGGGATCATGGATGGCTTGCGCTGCACCACCCACAGCTCCAACCACATACCCCATATCCAGTGAAAACCCGACGAATAAGACCGGGAGGCATGCGGATGGGAACCACGTTTCATCAACGGAGCCGGCCCCCCTCCTTCACAGGCAAACACAAGCACGCTGCATTTGGGGAATCAACCGCACACAAGGCGGTGGCTGGACCGCAGTCCGCTCCACACTGAGTGCATGGAACCGCTCTTTGAGCCTAGCACGGCCACAAGAACCGTGCACCCCGTCCCCTCCAGCAACGACCAACTGTCTCCTGGAGCCAGTATGAACGATGTAGTGGGTAATAGACAGGTAGGCACCTTGTCAACATACACATCAAGCGCAACCATACCAGAGATATCAAACAACAGCCATTCAATTTAAACGACAAGCTGAAATAAAATAAATCCAATAATGCATACAGATACGGTGGCATAACTCTTCGCTAAATTACCATATGAAGTAAGTTGGTCAGCAACAAATCCGGGATAAGTAGGAAATGTCCACAAGTTACTTAAAATGTTACAAACGCAACAAAATTACCGAAGATAAGCGCAATTAGTGTAAGCAACGTGGCCAGTTAATAGAACATTATTCAGGGAGGCAGAACAAACCAAATAAAGCGGAATGAAATGTATCCAGCTTAAAAAGACCTAGTTTAAGTGTAAGTTGGTTTAGCCCAACTGCGGTGAAGAAGCATCAAGAATGCAACATCAGCCTCAGCATGGGGCACCGGTCACACGCATATTTAAGTATATAATTGCATACCGGTTATTGTTAATGCTGCTGAGGAGACAACACGAAATGCATGCATCTACTAGTGGAATCGGCGCAGGGAAAAAAACGCGAAGAAAGGGAATCTTGGTGTTGGTGATATCAGATTAAGAACGTTTTGTTGATTGACCGAAAGGAACAAGATATTGGAATTAAGGGAGAATTATCTGGCTTGAGTTATGGACTCGATGGTTTCTGACAGGTATAAAGGCAAACGCTGGACATGTCACATAGAATGGTTGGGGTGAGAGCTGCAAGCTAAAGAAGAATGTGGGTAAAATCGCGCGAGATCCATGATTCATCAAGAGGTTTAAAGTAGCGCAGGTGTGATTATTCCTGTCTAGAGTTTAGGAGGATTAGGAAAACATCCCCATTTTGTTCTGCTCTAGTGCCATGTAATCTGATGGTCATGGGCATTATCACGTAGTGTACATGTGACAGGAATCGCCAAGGCGCTATTTGAAATGGGATAAGGTGGGGGCATTAATGACACGTGTTGAGAGGGCGTTTCAGGGCTTTGACACACGTATCGAAAAAATGCTTCGTCACCATTCCAGTCGAGTTTAGTGCGTGGCCAACTTAAACCGATGACTACTCAGAGGTGCTTTTGGCTGAGTTTCAAAATGTAGTGGCGTGTGTGTTTGGGCTTTCTTAGAATCTGATACACCGTTATTAGATCTCCCCGTAAACGCGGATGATCTCCACTGAACCTCTTGCGTTTTACTCCTGAGTGGATAGAGAAGGCGGAACAAACTTTTGACCTTTTTCTTCGCCCTTCGTTGTGTAGTATTGAGTGCGGTGAGTTTATGCTTTTGCCAGGGTTGCTACGCTTGCATGCCGTATTCCGCGTGCAACCTCAAGCGTGCCAAGCATTTTCAGCAATACTGAAACGTCCATCTTCCCGAACGCTCAACGACGGAGACCGAAGTGCTGATTTGTTTGCTTTGCTGCTTTTTCGGTCTGCCTCCAACAAAATATGTCATCTTGCACGTGCACACCGAGATCGCACTCACGAGACGCCGGTTGTACAAACTGTGGCCCTAGCAGGCAGTTGTGAGTTCTCAGGTGGCGCAGATTTAGAACATTGTACATGGTAGCGTTGAACTGCAACATCTACTCGGTGGACCATGTGTATGCCTTTTCCAGACTACCGTGTAGGTCTGTGTGATACTCCGATGTGGTGGTGGAACGCCATATCTTTAGATCATCGGTAAATAGTAGAAAGTTTGAAGATAGCACGCTCGCGAGATCATTCATGAAGACCAGGAACAGGCTTAGCTCGAGTAACGAGCCTCGACGTACGCCTTACTGAACTTTGATTGGTTCCGACAGGGTGCTGCAAACCATCACATTCAGGTGACGTTGAATGAGAAAGTCGTCCGTGTAGCAGAGAACGGATCACCGATTGCCTAGTTTTGGAGCCAGTTAAGTAGAATGCGATGGTCCAGATGATGGAAAGCTTTCAAGAAATCCAAGTACGCAGCATCTACGGATTTCGTATAGAATGCACGAGCTATCAACAGTTAAGTAGTACAGGATCACCTCTTACGAAACCCGTGCTTCTCCGGAGTGAGAATTTTGTTATTCGCGTGGTACCCATGAGTGTCACGACGACACTTGACTCCATGATCTTGGAGGTCACCAGAAGTAGTGTTATCTGGCGATAATTCGTTGGTTCTGTATGGCAAGCACTTAGAAGATTGAAGTAGAAACCCCATGCTTCCACCTCATAAGGACGTGCATTTCGTTACCACATCACTGAAAGGGTATTGCTAACGGTTCAACTAAACCTATGGCAGCAACTTTTAACACCTTTGTGAGAATGCAGTCTCCGCCAAGCGACCTGTATTCGCGCAAGCAACTCAGTCGCTTGGTTACAACCGCGGCTGCAAAAGATATGTGGCTAAGGCCTGATGGCGGCATGTAGGATGGCTGCACACTTTGGAAGGTAGGGCCAAATTGTTAGCCAGAAACGTTGGCTTCCTCTTGTGCCGTTTGTGCTAGCGCGCATGCAGTGTGCAGAGAACGGATTTTGCGGCTTACTGTACGAAGTTTGTTTACCTGTCTATATAGTAGTTGAGAGTTCGAGCAAAATACTAGCACAAGGTCTTGTTAGTACTTTACTCTATTCAACCGAATGAGCTTGACGCAGTGGTTCCGCTGTGCTGCATCAACATCCTAGTTGTCCTCGCTCCGAGATGCTATATGAGCGAACCAAGCTAAATCTCACAATGTTAAACATTTCCGAGCCCTGCTTCTTTGGAACGACATCATCCTTTTTAAATCGTAGCTTTTGTTTCTTGTGGGCTTATCACGAGCCCGTTGAGTCGGTTGACTAATTCCACCACAAGGGACCATTCGGCTAAGAATGATCAACCTCTTGCACCAATGCGTGCGGACAAGTCATCATAGTTGGTTACGACGTGAGATTCTTCATTACATTTTAAGGATATTCTGCGTAACCCATATACTAGAACACTAGTGTTTCTTGATCGCTGCAGCCCAAAGGAGTGCACGTTGTTACTACGTCGATCATGAGTTTCTCGTTGGTGTAAAGGAGATCCAGATTGCTCGATTTGCTTCCTGTCCTGAAACGCGTTGGAAAGGTGACATGATGTTACAGAGGGGAACCAGCCACTAGCAATTGCAGTTCCACTTTGAATTGCTCATCGACGATGACCGGCTTTTATAGGCCGTTCAGATGGATGTCCTCCCCTACCAGGAGAACGTGGTTGTAAGATCGTGCAAGTAGGTTTCTAATAGCGGTGGCCAGAGCCTGGTCCATTTTTAAAGTGTACATTAGTGGGCGGTATACCATGTTCCTTGAGCATATATCACTGTACCTTAGGT